ACTAAATTGTATTTTAGTTTAATATAGTTTGAAACCTAGTAATTTCCATCGGAGTTTACACTCTTAAGCAGAACGCAAATTGTAAACGTACTCTTAATAGTACGAGAATCTTAAGTTTCATAAATGTACTCTTAATAGTACGAGGAATTTACGTCTCCTAAATGTGTTCTTAACAGCACGAGGAACTTAAGTTTCCTAAAATGGTTTTTAATGGTTTTATTAATTAAACCTTTTCCATTTAACATATCAGATATTTGGATGAGCCCATTAAAAGGCCTCAGTAAAATACTAAACATAAAAGAGTTGGTCTAGTTCTATTAATAGAGCTTTATTTACTTTCCAACTTTATTTATATCTGAATACTTCGGTAGCGAGATGGCTCAACCGAATACAGGTTTCTAGGAACTATTAACGTTACCTAGTTGATCCTCCGACCAGCCAACCAGATGTGCCAGTCTGATGAAGGCTAAGTCGGTAATTCTTGGTAGTGGCAAGTTATTGGTTAAGACAATAACTAAGGACGTCAAGAGTATTTTTATTTTTTTTAATTTCTTTTTCTAAAGATAGGATTTTATGAGTCTCTCGGATTCGCTCCAGAATAGAGCGACAACGAAACACTAAATAAAATCCCTTCGGCGGAAATAGAACTGAGAGGATTATATATAGGCAATGTCTCAGCCTCACAATCCCTCAGAGTATTGCTATTTTCACGAGGCAAACCTAACTTTATTAAACGTCTCATTTCGTTTATTTATATCGATATTTACACGACATTTAGAATTTACTTACGCGTTTATTTATTCTAAGGCATTAGTATCGCCTTTATTTGACCGAATCTTATACATTTTAAAGTTAGCAAAAGTATTAATTACTTAGACTACTTAAGCGTAAAGGTAAGTTAACTACCACAACATTATTTTTATCTTGTCTAAGCTAGTCGTTAAGAGACAAGCACTCCTTCTAAGAAGCGTGGAGCTGAAAAGAAGAAAATGAAGAGAGAATTCGCTAGCGCTGCCGCAGCTATTACTGCTTCAAAAGCAACCGACGCCGCTGCTGATGCATTTAAGTGCACTGTAGCCAAAGTACTTGCCTCTGACAATTATAGTCAAAAGGACAATGCTTCAGATAGGGAAGTAGCCACTCCGCTTAAGGAGACTATTCCTTCTGACAGAGCCCGAGGGCCAACTATTGCCTCAACTTCAAAGCTTGCATTAACGAAGCCAAGAAGTGAGACAAGGGATACGTCTCAAGACGCCCCAACCCATTCTTCTGACGAAAATCAGAAAGAAAAGTCTCCAATTATGAGGGCGTCCCCAATTATAGGAGACAAGGACAAATCTCAGAAGGAACCTATTATGGAACCAGAAGAGGAAGCAAGCTCAAGTGGCAAAACCGAATCTACGTCCGAGACTTCTAAGCCGAAGCGCATAAGTAAGTTAATTACTAAATACGCTGATCTTAAGAATCAGTTAGCTACTATTATGAAAGACTTGACTGTCGAACATGTAGATCAACTAAATAGATCAGGAAAACATACACAGCGCTTACGCGAGCATGTTTCCCCGGGCATTACTTACTTTGCCTAAACCAAGTTAAATGTAGCAATGACTCTGTCTAAATTAAGTTAAATGTAGCAATGACTCTGCCTAAATTAAGTCAAAAGTAGCAATGACTCTGCCTAAATTAGGTTAAATGTAGCAATGACTCTGCCTAAACTAAGTTACATGTAGGAGTGACTCTGTCTAAACTAAATCAAATGTATCAATGACTCTGCTTAAACTAAGTTACATGTAGCAATGACTCTGCTTAAACTAAGTTACTTGTAGCAATGACTCTGCGTAGACTAAGTTACATGTAGCAATGACTCTGCCTAAACTAAATCAAATGTAGCAATGACTCTGCCTAAACTAAGTTAAATGTAGCAATGACTCTGCCTAAACTAAGTTACATGTAGCAATGACTTTGCCTAAACTAAGTTACGTGTAGCAATGACTCTGCCTAAACTAAGTTACATGTAGCAATGACTTTGTCTAAACTAAGTTACGTGTAGCAATGACTCTAGCTGACTACCTTAAACCTTTTGGACACTTAAATGTCATAAAGGCAAACTAGGAGACTTGTGGACTAAAGAGTGTGATGACGCATTTGAAGCGCTCAAACACGCAGTTCAACAAGCCCCAGATGTACAAGGGCCAGTCGATGGCGTGCCGTTTGAAATAGCAATAGACGCATCAGACTTAGCCTTAGGAGTATTATATCAGGTTAAAGATCACAAACCTAGATATATACAATTTTTTAGTCGAGCAATGAATGCTTCACAGTTGAATTATCCAACTGTTAAACAAGAGCTATTAGCCACAGTGACAGCTTTAACACACTTCCGAGATTACTTATACGGAACAGCATTTACGCTGATGTGTGATCAGAAATCTCTTCAATATATGAAAGAGATGAAACCCGACTCGCAATTACTGAGTCGCTGGCATGATACAATATCAAAGTTTCATTTTGATATAAAATATCTGCCAGGAATACATAACCATTTACCGGATATGTTATCACGCTTCGTACCGGACTTTAATATATCCGTACGTGAGTTACTAGCCACTGATT